TTGGAAGGACCATACGGTGTACTCATCGTGCAGATTTTGGAGCTTTCTTTATCCAGTTTTACTAGGGGAAAGCCCTGAAGCAGTGTCTAAAGTCGAGAAGTACAGGGAGTTCCTGAGAAACGAGAACCGTGTATTTAGGCTCTGGTAAATGAACTAAGCATCGCAGAAAGATCAAACTCCGTGACAATATGACGTAGCGATTGGGATAGATCGCGAAAGTTAGAGTACAAGACGTCACCTGGATCAAAAGATAATTGAGGAAAACAAATTTATTTATGAGCCGACGTCCAGCTAAACCCAATACCGTCAAAACAAGAAATGACACTAAAAGCTTGAGAACATGACGTCACCTGGATCAAAAGATAATTGAGAAAAACAAAATTTCTCTATGAGCCGACGTTCAGCTAAGCCTAATACCGTCAAAACAAGAAATGACACCGTGGACGCTTGTAGCAGACTTGTACACGTTACTGAAAAAAGTAAGGAATTTCATTTACAATTATGCAAGACTAGATTGTATCTATTTACAGTTACAATTACCCTTACATAAAAGTAAGTAACCGTTACCCCAAAAAGTTAATCCGTTCCTTTCGTACCGCTACTTTCTACCTCACTGTCACACAATGTACAAGAGTGTTATAGAAACGCTTATCGATGGGTACCCAGTCACACTTGTGTGGCCTTGAGCACCAGCTAGCTCTCGAGAGTCTCGTCGGACGTCTTGCCTCGTTTCTTAAGTTCCCGCGTAAGGCACTCTTGAGTGCCTTACTTTCTCGTCTCATCGTCTCGCGTACGGCACTCACGAGTGCCTTACGCGAGGCGATGAGACGAGAAAGTTCTCGAACTTGCGAGAACGGCAAGTAGAAAGAATAAGCAAAAGAACATCCCGCTACCTGGAATCGAGCCCAGATCCCTTGTGTGACAGTCAAGCACGGTGACCATTCGGCCACGAGCCTGCTCTGTGACGCGCGTGGCAATATCAGGTCGTACCCCCTATCACGCATGTGGCACGGATCAGGATAGCGATAATTCAGTTGCCATGTCACACGGACACAATCCAAGCTTCGGCTTTTCTTCTCCCTTTATCGGAACATGAGCTGAGAGGCTATTTGCTTTCCTTTAAAGACTAAAGAGTCTCCGGGCTTCGATGAAATTCATATACGTGACCCGCAACCAAATTTTTAAAAGACCAAATATGTACTCCTGGAAATATTTAACGGCACTATTGAATCTGGAGAATGGTCTACAGGAATAAAAACTCATGTTGTGAAAGTACTTCACAAAGGAGGAGAAAAGAATTAATTAAAAAAAAAAAAAACTATCGTCCCATATCAATACTGCCCTGTCTTGCGCAGTTACTATAAATTGTATTTCAAAACAATGTCTAGTTTTGCAGTACGGTTTTGGGATTATTGTCTAATAATCAGTACGGTTTTGTAGCGAAGCGGGGAACGGATTTTTTGTGTGAAGATTTTAATGATTGCTTGCATACGGGCTTTGATAAGAATCTTTTCACTTGCGCTGCGTTCTTGGATGTGTCAAAAGAGTTCGACAGCATAAATCACAATATTCTTTGTATCAAACTACACAAGCTAAGATTTAATGGTCCATTTGTTTTTAGTTTCCATAAGGTCATCTCTCAGGACGATCTCATGTAGTTACATTTAAATCTAAAAAAAGCACCAGGACACTCTTAACGGCCGGGGTACCGCAAGACTCAGTGTTATCGCATTTTCTTTTTAATTTATATGTAAATGATCCAAGCGTTGTCTCAGTATGCAGAGTATACCAATATGCCGAGGATATGGTTTTGGTTTCTTGTGATGCAGATTATCATGTAGCGATTCAGAAACTCAAAAATAATATTGGTTTCGTGATGGACATGGTTTCACTTAAACTTAATAAAAGTAAATGCTGCAAAGACCGAACTTATTTGTTTTAGGAACCCGCTTAGGAAGGTCAAACTTTCAGCTCCGATAGCACTGTACAATTCTAAATGTAGATCATGCAATTGTGAAAACTTGCATATGTAGAATTTGTCGAATACATGGAAATATATTTTGACAGTGATTTGGCCTGGAACACTCACACGGCACACTTATGCAAACGATTAAAAAGCGTTTTCTGCTGTCTCTTTAATATTAAAATGCTTCTTCCGTTCTCTGTTCGTAAAACGTTAGCACATGCTCTGGCGTATAGTTATTTACGTTACGGTATAACCCTTTTCTCAGGGTACTCTCTCTCTCTCTCTTTTTTGTTTTTCGTGCCAGAAATAATTCTTTTTTGAAGGCCGTTTTGAAAAGTGTTTCTTTTGAGAGACAGGATGCCGGGAGTGACAATATATTTCATGAAATGCATTGACCATCCCTTAGATGGCTTCTGAGAGAAACGGTGGTCCTCCGACATTTCTGAAATTCTGATTTCAAAACTCCCTACATTCAACAGCCTCCAATGATACATTCACTACGATTACATATACCCTGTATCAGGACAAAATATGATGAACATATGCGGATGGGGCTTAATGTGCATACCCCATATTTATAACAACCTTCCAAATGATATATTTGATTGAACATAAAGAAAAATCGCTTCGAGGCTTAGAACAGTAAACTGATCGTTCCTACATTGTAAAACCCGAGACGTCGGACAAAAAGGAGAAGAATACAAGGGGACGACACAGACTACACAGACAGAGTATTCGAACCTTCCGGTTGCCTCTTGGCTTATTTTACGTTGCATAGTCAGCATATATGATCTCTTGTTGTTATTTACTGATGATTTACCCGTTATCCATATTTACTCAAAATTAATGGATTAGGCTGTTCCATCGAGAATGTAACTTTTTTTGTTCACTTCGCCAATTTCCGAGCCAGGCACACAAGCCTCCGAGGCTTCACTCGGCTCGATAATGTAGGTTTTGTAAGTTTATGTGACAAATAAAACAACGTTCAATATTTCAATGCGCTCTTTTCCTAATTTTTTTCGTTTCTTGTAGTTTGTGTTTAGGGAAACAGGGATAATTAATTTAATGTAAATATTTACTACGTACCTAAATATTACTTTTAATGTCGGAATGTTAAGTTTCCAACAACAATCATACTTTCATAAATCGTTTATTCGCTTCAATGCTTCCATTTTTTGCAATAAAAAAAAAATCCGTTATAATCACATAACACTAATAACGAGCAAAAATAATTTGAAACTTTTTAAAATTTTATCTTATCGTAACCCAAAAAGTTGTTTTTGTTTTCTAGCTTATTTATGTAAGCTAGAAAGCTTTATTTACGCGAATAAATTGGCCTTTTTGGGCAAATTGGTCTCAGGAACCTAAAAACATAATTAAAAAAAAAAATGTACCCAGCATATTATCGATTCTTGTTGTTTACTGTAGTCGAATGGCAAATCTTGTACTTTTCTTTATTTGTAAATTGTGGTCGTTTTAACCATCTTGTTTCTCAAAACTTTGTGTGAGCTGCCGCCAAAATATATTTTTCTACAAACGTAATTAATTCCGGAATATTGGGTCGGAATTATATTTCATTTATACAATCATAACGATTTGTTTATAGCCAACAATAAACTGTGGACGTCGCTTAACTTAGATACTCTCCGTAGTGGCAATACACCAAAAGGTTTATTCGACTGAGGAATCTGCAGTTTGCACGTCATCTTGAAACTTTGGCACAATAAAAGCGTTTTATAATAGGACAGAGTAGTAACACGGCAAATTGTTCAAAGCGTAACGTTTTGGCGTTGTAGCCATATTTGTATATAAAATACATGGTCTTTTATGGAGCGTTGCCGTAACCCGCGAAGAGATGGCGTAAGCATACGATGACGCAAAGTTCTGGAGATGCGCCGAGTTTTCTTGGAGATCACGGACGCGGATCTCTAGGTACAGATGCGCGCGACTGTTCCTGTCACCCACGTAATAAGCCTCGGCAATTCGGATGTCGTGAAGCTTGCTTTTTCAAACGAAACTGCTACAGACTACATCACTGCGGGACTTACGAGGTTCGATATTTTCCCATATGTGAAGAAACCACGACAATGTTCCACGTGGGGTCGGTACGGCAATCTTGATAGCGCATGCAACAAGATAGCGTTGCAGTCGCTGTGGTGGTAACCACAAGCGTAGCACGTGCGATGCAGAAATACTACGATGCCCCAATTGAAAACAACAACAACAACAACAGTACGAAGAAATTTTAGTGCGATGCAAAGTCTACCAAATAGAAAGGAAAATATCAGCCTACCGAAGCGCAAGCAACTACTTCTCGAATTTTTCCCGAAGTAGCAAATCAGCTCTAAGATCTCTTGACCTTTTCGTGTATAAAAAAAAAAAAAAAAGCTATCCTTCTTTTCTCTCTTTTCTTTACAATTCAGTTTGCATTAAAAGCTATCAACCTTCCGACTCATTTGTGATGCAAAGCATGTTTGATTGAAACAATACATTTAATATACAAGTTCAAATATGACGATTAAAACATAATAAAGAAAAAAATGAAGCCCTTACTGCCATGCATTATACACCTCTATTAAGTGAAACTTGACAATAGACTCTCTTCGAATGTTCATCAAGCAACGTTGATGGTCGCCATTTTTTGGACATGATGCGCGTGATTGGATCCGAATCCTTGCCGAACGCTGACGTCCCACTCGTTGTCGGTATACGAGCTAACCCGAGTTCACGCCGAATGCTGACGTCACCCTCGTTTCAAATACAGGCTCAGAGTGCGTGATCAAGCAATGGCGGACAGGGGATGGCGCAGACTTTTGAAAAGGGTCTATAGACGATGCGGCATCAATACTTTTTTTTTTTCTATGGCGCATCTAGTTTTTTTAGGAAAATGCCTAAAAAGTTTTGTGAAACGCCCTTCGTTAGGTCCATAAAAGACACACACACACAGAAAAGTTAAGTTTTCTGAGAATGCGATAATACATTTAAAGGTTTACATAAAAATGTGCCAGATCAAGTTTTTTTTTTTATTTTGCAGCTCTGAACGGAGGATACCAGGGCGGCATCGAACTTGATGACAAAGGAAATTTGGCAGCGCTGCTGTTACATAAAGGTGACCTTATTTGAACACAATTGGGCTGTGAATATAAAACGAAAAGGCCCGGCTTTAAATGTGTGTTGGCTTATTATGAAACCTGTAAATAAGTGTAGTTAAATAATTTTACCAGACGTTGAACCCATATTCGTCATTTTCCCTGCTGAATAGCGCCCTGCCCCACAGGGAATGCATGCACTACGGATATATTTTTAACATGGTACACCAACATTTGTATGTTTCCTTAGATATATGCCATAATTTAATGTTGCTTTCTTACAGCCACACTCTTTAAGTCGATCCAATCTACATTTTTCTTAAGTCGACCACCTTCTTTGCTCAAAACCTCTTCTTGAACGAGAAATGTATTAACTATATGACAGCATGCCTTTTTTTTTTTGTGCGACCTGTAGTTTTTTAGGAAAACAGCAAATCGAGTTTTGCGAAAGTCAAACTATACGCCAAGTCATATCTAATTGTTTCACGCGCGAATTCATGGGCACTTGACACGCTCCTTTGTGTTATTCAGATCTATGCGCATGTGGTGCAGTGCCCAATGGACTTTTTTCTAACGCCCCTTGATCTGTTTGTGTTTGCTGCGATGCCATAGTTGCTCCCTATAGGAAGCAACTATGGCATCGCAGCACTGAAATGAGCGGCCATTGGAAGCGAATGGCGGCAGAGTACTTGCTCCGAGCATGTGTTTCGCGCCTTCGCGTAGCTGTGGTTGGCGGTACTCGTAAGAAAAGCGAAGCCTAACATTTTTTCTTGGGGCTTTACCTTTTTTTTTTTAGGGTGCTTTCATACAAACGCGTTTAGCTTGGGTGGAGACACCTCAGCAATTTTTCAGCCAAATGGTATTTTTACTCCAAAGTGCGCGCAATAGACTATTTACAAAATCTTTGGATATTACACTGTGCACGTTGCAATATGGGACCTCTTGGGCCATGGAGAGGAGTGGCATGGTTTCAACTTCGATTGCCCCATTGACGAAAGAAGGCATCTCATCACTGCATGAAAACGAAGACAGCGCTCGCTTGCATTGCACCCGTTCATCTTAGTAAGAACTACCGTTGAAACACGGACTTCCAGCAGCTGTAAGGACCTGCCTAGACTTAGCGAGACGTAGGAGTACGGCCCGCCGCGTCCCACACCTTTCTGGCTGTCTGGCTACAACTACGGAGCCCAACATGACAATGCCGTGTCACGGTTCATTAAAAAAAAAAAAAAAAACATAGGACAATGAGACGACGAACAGGATGGTCGGCCCAGTACAGTTCTTTTTCCTGTGTATACCAGCGCACAGACTCTGCTACGTCGGGAGCCCCCAAGAACGTACCCCAGCATTCTATCCGTAATGTTAGGTTTCTTCAATTTCTAATTCGTAGAGAATTATGAATTTTAAAAAAAAGTAATGTTTTCGAAAATGCATGCACCATGTTTCGTTGCGACGGGATGCCGTGAATTCAGGTTGGCACATCAAAACCCAAACCGTGTGCAATGGGTTCCCAAAATGCTTTGCGCGGCACCACGCTGCTAGGATCGCTTTGATCTGTGTGACTCAGCTTGTGCGCATAGCCTTGGCTAATGCTTACACGCCTATTTATGCATAGGTCACGCACTGAGTGCCCCAGCACGTCACGCGCTCGGCCACTTTGTGAAACAAAGGATGTCTCCACTCTGAGACAGACAGACATGTAGACAGCCTACTTTCTACAGCGAAGCTGTTTATGGCTAGGGTTCCGTAGATTTTTCGTGTGCAGTGACTAAACACTCTGCGCTCACACCGCCGGACGTGCCGCACGCGCACGCCTTCCCGTATAAAAGATTCGAAGTAAATAACAGAAATAAAGCGGTGACGAACGCGCGTACAAGATGCCATTTGTTTTATGCTTTTGCCTTAGGACAGTTACTGCTGCAGACGCCGGCACGTGCGTGGCGTGGAACGCCATTCCCTGCATTCTCCTTGATGCTTGGGTAATTTAAATATAGGTCTATTCAGTAGATTAGTTATCAATAGGCACCACTTTCAAGATAAGTAAGCTCTCGGGTAGATAATAAATGTTTCTCAATGATTTGCCGCTGTGCGACCCGTGTCGGCCATGTCTACACTCGCACCGCCCTCTCTCTGTCATCGTTCCAAGTGCTTGCGTGCCTAGTTTCATTTCCTTCTGCTCTCCCAAGGTGGCGGTTCGGTCACACGTGTCTATTTTCCTCCGGCTCCTCGGGGCGGGTCTGTGTCGTCTGCTAAACAGCTTCGCTAGTCATCCACCTTCAGAAAGTGGAATGGCTCATGATTTTTTCTAGAGATCCTCGATATGCTCCCCCGAACGGGGAGCAGAATTACTTATTTGTTTTCTCCGAGCTGCCACGCCGCTATTCGCCGGGATCGATCACGTGAGGAGCAAAGCATCCAGCGCCGTTCAGGGAAGCCACCGCTACGGTCGCTCCGCCGACGTGTCACGTGCCTTGGCGTATGTTCCCCTGCTTCCGCCTCCTTCTCCTGCTTTTCTGTTTTCCATAATTGGTGGCACGCGTAGCGCCAGTATTCGCCGAAGTCAGTCACATGACGAGGAAAGCATCCAGGGCCGTGCAGGAAAGCCGGCGCTACAGCCACCTGCTGAGGCTGATCTAAGGGGGGGGGGGGGGGGGCGACGGGGGCGGCCGCCCCCCCCCCCCCCCCCCCCCCCGAAACAAAGTCGACCCCTCCCCCTCCCCCCTTCTCGGAGGGCAATTTGACATGGGTGGACCCCCCGGTGCACACGAAAGAATGGGAGAAAAGTATACTCACAAAAAACAAAAAAAAACAAAAAACACGGAGCTTTGTATTTGCCCCTGTCCACCTGCCGAGGCTGAATGCGGAACTCTGCTACCGTAGGTAGCTATATACAGGAACTTTAACTTTTTCGAGTATCGAGCGCTGTCTGGGGAGGTGTTTGCGATTATGAACAATAAAAAGCCCAAAGGAAAGACAAGGATAAGAACACGAAGACGGGATTTACGCTAACAGCCAACTACAAATGAAGGCAGCCCAGCATCCCTCCGCCCATCAGAACACATCAACATCGTGCCGTTGTGTTAGTTTTCATTGCTTTTTATGCCCACGATTACCGATATCCAGAAAAGATCGCCAAGAAAAGACGAAATACACACAAAGATGGGCGCTGAATATGTCGGTCGTACGGTTCGGTGCCCTCCGAAATTGGCGAAAGCGGGAAGCAAGACTAAAGGGGAGGATGGTACGTATGCGCAGCAGCTTACTTGACAAAGTACCGTAGTTACTTGACAACATGCTTGTTTATCGGCATTAAGTCGGTGGATAGACAGGGTACTGGTCACTGAGCAATAGTGAAGCCAAATTACGCCGGAATGCAGGAGTCAGTTACAACAGCTTTAACTGGCTGTTTTTAAAAACAAGAACAACGAAGACGTTTAAAGCACATGTCTTCAAGTACAAGTGTAAAAAAAGCGAATTTTTAATAGCCTAGTTTTACTACACAATTGTACAAATAGATGAAACAGAAAATGATCTGATCACGTAAATAGCGTCACACGTGTATAGCGGATGTGTATCGAAGCAAGTTCTCTCTCTTTGTTCCTTTCTCGAATTCTAAACAAACGTGTCGGCTTCAGTAGCTTTGCTTGTGGTTTCAGCGTAATCTTTCAAATACATTTGGGAGAGTACGCGGCTTAGGCCGCATTTTGAGACCTTAGGGATAATTGAAACTTTTAGAAAACTTTCAGACTTGTCTTTAGCGTTTCTCTAAAGTGTACTGAACAACGACTAAAATAATCCCTGGGAAAGCGGAGCAAAGAGGACCAAGGAGAAACACCAGTCTCCGAACACAGCTGGCTGACTATACTCCGTTTCACCTTATGTTGTACCGCAGCGAAGGCTACAAACGCGAGCTCATAGCGTTTACGGATGCCCTTAATGCGCGAGAGCTTGCGCCGACGAGATGTGCCCTCAGCAAAGAGCCCGCGCTTGTAGCCTTTCCTGCGGTACATCATAAGGTCAAACAAAGTATAGTGCGCGACAGAAAAAATTTGCCTGGTCCTGGTATCGAACCAGGGACCTCTCCATTTCCAGTGCAGCGCTCTATGAACTGAAGTAAGCAGGAGTTAGATGTCAGTAGAGAAAACGGGTTTTATCAGCCGCCACCATTCTAACACCAACAAGGGTGAACGGCCTACAAGAATAAAGTTATTATGATATTGCAATTAACGCAACGGTGCAAGCTGTGCTTGGAGATCTGGGTTTGTCCTTTGTCTCCCTCTTTCCCCTTCTCCAGGGATTATCTTCGCCCTTCTTTTCCAGTTCGCTTGCTTCTTAGCAATTATTGCATTATCATCATAACCATAAAATGCAGGCCGTTCACCCTTGTTGGTATTAGACTGGTGGCAGGTGATAAAACCCGTTTGCTCTACCGACGTCGAGTTCCTCGTTAGCTTAGTCGGTAGAGCGCTCCACTGGAAATGGAGAGGTCTCTGGTTCGATACCCGGACCAGTCACCTAGTTGTGTTTGGAGATTTGTGTTTGTCCTTTGTCCCTCTTGTTCCCCTTCTCCAGGGTTTATTTCCGTCATTCTTGTCTAGCTCGCTTGCACCTTTGCATTAATTGCATTATCACCGTACTAAACAAAAACATTTCTGTTCTACTTAAATGAAACGGCTAGATGTACCAGGAACCTAGAATAATTAATGTGAGTTTTGTTAATTTCCACGTTCTAGTATAGTACAAAATGGCATCAGTCTGGGTTCTTTATTAAAATATAAAAATAAAACTATAAAAACATAAAGCTCGACGTAAAAAAGCATTGACCGAATGAACCTTTTATTTGCAGGTACAAAGTTCAACGATTCCGAGAATACGGATCTGGAAGCTTGGCTGTTTAGCGCAGGTGACTCTTATTTAAGAATCAAACTCGTATGCGAATGTAGAAAAAAATACAGACATTCCATATAACTGTTGAAGAAATTTTAATTGCAAGGGAGTACGTTTCAAACAGTTGTATATAAAAATAATATAAGAATGTTTTGCCATTTGACACCATTATTTATTACAGCCAAGGGAAAAACTGTATTCGTTGGGCTGAACTTTTACATGGATACGCATTTTGAGAAAAAACTACTATACAGGGCCGAAGCCTATGCCTATTTGGCGGCATTCACGAAAGCTGTGAGTTAACTAATTCAAGCTGCATGTTTCAGTTATGCTTGCATTATTCATTTTATGTTCACTTCTTTTTTTTATTGGCTTTGAACGCAGAGGATACGTGCTGAACCATTTGCTTAAACGTTGTAAACACTGTACCATTGACAAGGCCCAATCGCCTGCTTTCGCGCGAAGCCAATACGCTGGGTAAAAGAAAAAAGTTATAAAAATTATTTAGGGTGATTTAATTATACAAAAAAAAAAGAAGATTGACACTGAACCAGACAAAATGAACAGAGTTGTTTTCTATTGATTGATGAAATGACGTGCAATGAAAAGGTTGATGTCTATTAATTTCAGGTTCAAATGCGATTTTGGAGACTAACTGCGCCACGCGTGGAAATTGTATTCTCCGCATCACTATGGTTAATCGTAAGTACAAAACATACAACAGAAAGGAAAGTGCACAGTGCTGTGCTAGTGCACTCCGCCACACTGAAAACGCGACCAGGCCATCGCCGTTTTTTTTCTCACAATATTAAGAGCTGTCATCAAAACTGTATATCATAGCGTTCCAAAGTGCTGAATTAGAGCACTAGACTAAGTGGTAAATTTTTGATGCCCACCCTTTAGAAGTAAAATGCGAAAAAGCGGCGAAGTCGTGTTTGCGATAACATTGTCACAGCGTAAAGAAAAGTGGGGCAACCAAAGATTGCGTGGAATAAGGGAGAAGAAACAGTTTCTGTTTGTCATTCTTTGAAGGGTGTATTTTTGGCGCGAGCACTCGTTCCGCACAAGCATGTTTCAAAGCTTAACCTTCCTGCCTGTAGCCCTTGCTGTCCTGAGAATTGGTTAGTCTTCCGCGACATTTTTCAGATGGTATCTTCAAAGGTATAAGGCCTCTAATCGAGGATGGGAAGTCTACAATAGGTAGCACAAGCGCGAGCTCCTTTCATTTTCATGACTGCCCCTGAACTGCCGTAGCCCTTGCGCAATGGGAGCACCAGTTCAAGCCACCCGCTAGTGCTAGCACTCTTTACGGCTGTCATCGCCATCTAAGGTATTATCAAGTAAGAGATTGTGGCGGAGTGATGTAAACAGCGACCAGAATTATAGTAGCACTCAGTCAAGAATAAAAGTAATGCGGAGGGCAAGTTCGTCTGCTTCTTGCGCAGGGGGTAGCGGTCACGTCAGGACGCCGAGCCCTGATTGGCTGATCGCGACCCCTTATCTGAGCGTCGTCTGCTCCTTTGCAACGTCGTCTGCTCGCAACGTCGCCTGCGTCTGTCTTGCCTTTCCTGCGACTTTCGGAAGTGCAGAGGCCAGATTCACGAAACGATCTTACGCAAAAAATGTGCGCAAGACAAAACTTGAGAAAAAATTCGTATTCACGAAACGAAATTTTTGTAAGTTTTGCGCAGGTTACGACGAAATCCTACGACAGCTCCGAAGCTGTCTTACGCACTTCTTACGATCTAATCAGCATGGCCGACAGCGTCGCGGTCGCGACGACCAACGGAGTTTATTTTTCTACGTGCGCTTCTCACGCATCCCGACTTCAAGCAGCAAGAAAAAAGTAAGAAGTACTTGAAGCAGACCACGACGAACAAGAACGCTGGATCCACAAACACCCGGGAAAAGCTCCAACGGCCACGATTCCACCGACAAGGACCAAGCGAGCACGGCAGTTAGGCCTAGCAGGCACTCCGCGAATCGGCGACCGTCTGCCCACGACCGGCTGGCGTGCTGAATGGAATATGCCCGCGCGACCCTTGTGAACCCTTCCCGGCTGATACTTTGATCGCTGTCCTCAATTTTAGATTAAGAGGTCAATCTCTTCCTCTTGTCATCTCCTTGTTTTCCGAGGCAACGGTGACTCTCGCCAGTACAAAAAAAAAAAAAAAAAAACGGTGAGTCTCCGACAGACGCAGGAAAGGTAAAACAGCCATCGCTTTGACTAACAGACGTAAAGCGGACAACGTTAACTGCGCCAACCCGCCGACGCCGTTAAAGAGTGAGGAGTCTCGCCGCACACGAAAGGAGGGGAAAAGTATTTGGGAGGGAACTTGCGGACACTAACCGCCCTCACCCCCTCTCGGTTCTTAGCAAACAAACCTCGGCGCCTCGGGACACCTCGCCGGAGAGTCCTTTGGCTTCCCATGCGCGTCTGCTAGTTGTTAGACAAAAACAACGTACTGCTCGAGTTATTTCGTCTGCCCTCTTTGAAAAGCGAAGTCGAGCTCGCTCATAAAGACCTGCACTTCCAAAAGTCGCAGGAAAGGTAAGACAGACGCAGACGACGTTGCCAAGGAGCAGACGACGCTGAGATAGGGGGTCGCGATCAGCCAATCAGGGCTCGGCGTTCTGACGTCACCGCTACTTCCTTCCTCATGCGCAGAAGACGAAAATGAGCCCACTTGCGAGGCGTATTCTGGACACAAGCTATGTATAGGGATTTGGAAAGTCCGGTACGGCGAGATAAAGTTGCACTAATTCCTAACTTCATTTCTTTTGACGTTCCATCGTCCTCGTGTTTCTTGTCAGTGGCGACGATGGTCCCGGCATTCTTGGCTCTATGTCAAAACCACATGGCCAGACGATGGCGTTCCATGGTTGTCCCTTTTACTACCGATTTTTTTTCCTCCCTTCTTTACACCGGCCGTCTTCTTCAAGTTCTTGAACCACATCATCAAACACGTAAGAAAAATGACAAAGATCCATTGATGAATTCTTAGGGAACGCATTAGCATGACCCTTGGGAAACGCCACACACGTCTTTTTTTGAAAATCGCTGATGCTGACACCTTCACTTTTCTGTTTTGACCTTCTCTTTTACTTCCTCTATTTCTTGCTGCCTCTTTTTGGCCTCGCTATGGGATCAGTGTTAGCGTTTCCCAATGGGGACGTGTGTGGTACTTCCCTGGTGTTATGCTAACGGATTCCCTAAATATCTATCAATGTATCTTCCTGTAATTTTTTAGAGCGCAGCTCTTAGGGGCCCGTTCCCGGCTTGAGCGGCGTCGGCGTCGGCGTAACCAAGGTCACGCGACCCCCAAGGTCATCCCAAGGTCACGTGATCCCAACGTCACCCCAAGGTCACGTGACCCCAGAGGTCACGTGACCCCTCCCCCAGGGTCACGTGACCCCAAGGTCACGTGGCACCCAGAGTCACGTGACCCCCGAGGTCACGTGACCCCCCGAAGTCACGTGACCCCCCGGGGTCACGTGACCACCCCAGGGTCACGTGACCCCCCGAGGTCACGTGACCTCCCCGATGACGTCATCGTCACTAATGACGTCACCGGCATCTGGATTGTCATCGGCATCATCATTGATGACGTCATCAGTGACGTCACTGATGACCTCACCGGCATCCGCATCGTCATCATTACTGATGACGTCATCAGTGACGCCACTGATGAGGTCACCGGCATCCGCATCGTCATCGTCATAATCACGGATGACATCATCAGTGACGTCACTGATGACGTCACTGACATCCGCATCGTCATCGTCATCATCACTGATGACGTCATCGGAGTCCGCATCGTCATCGTCACTGATGATGTCATCAGTGACGTCACTGATGACATAATCGGCATCGTCACGTGACCCCCCCAGGTCACTTCACCCCCCCCCCCCCCGCCAGTACCCTTCCCTCCTCCTCCTCAAGAGCTGCGCTCTAATTCGGTGTTACAGGGAGTTGTAAACGGCTTTAACTTTTTACCCTTTTTTTGCACTCTGCCTGTCTGAATACGTCGACGCCCTTGGATATGGTCATCCATATCACTCGTAGAAAGAACCAGATTCATATCACTCGTGGAAGGAACCGCTTCTATATCACTCGTGAAGGGAACCGCATCCATCGTTTTTACTACCCACACAGATCACAGCCCCCGCACCGCTACTAGGGAAACCCAGAGCGAAGAACAACCGGCGACGGCAGAGCGGCAACTGAGCACGCCCGCAATCTATCGCGCCGCGGCGCGTCCTGCCCTCTGGCTCCGCGCCAGCTGTGCGAGTTGACTTCGACGAAGACGAGAGGGCTCGTTTTGACGAAAACCCGGTGGTGTCTGTCAGTTTGTCAGCAACGGGAAGAGAGGGAGAGGGCGCGTGCTGACGTCAGTGCTTCGGACCAATGGGAGCGTCGAATGCATGACCCCCCCCCCCCCAACTTCTCCCTCTCTCCCCAAGCGCTGACAGAAAAAAGACACCGGTGGCAATCGGGTCAGCTGTACACAGAAAAACAAGGACACGAAGGAAAGGACTGGACACACCACTGTGTTTGTCCAGTCGTGTCCTTGTTTTTCCGTGTTCAACTGACCCGACTGCCAACAGTTCAACTAAACCACCAACTAGCTCAACTAAAACCCGAAAGACACCGCCGGGGTTTGGCCAAAACGAGCGTTCTAATGGTAACGCATTAAAACCAGAGCAACGCCGCGCCGTCAAGCACAGCGCGCAAATCTCGGAGCAAGGCGGGCTCAGCGCTACTCATATCCATCACGTATACAGGACTTTTTTGAAGCAGCAAGCATATTAATTTGGGCGGTATTGGGTACAGCACGGCAAGGATTATGTAACGATGGATTTGGTTGCAAAACACGTTCCTTAATCAAGCGCCCAATGAAGCCACAAAATAAGCCGGATGGCTAAAATACCAGCTATACGTGCAGTCAAGCGGCTATAACAAACGCTCGTGGTTCCCCCTGTTCAGCAATGCAGAATTTGATTTTTCTCAAAATTTGTTTAACATATAAAAAAGAAAATTTTGAACTAGTAGCCTAAATTACAAGTCACATACATTGAAGTTGGTGAATTATTAATTTTGGCCTAGGAGGCCGAGAAGCTCCATTGGCGACATGCGCGACGAAAAAGTGTCGCTGTGATCGGCCTTACAAGGTTGGCTAAACGATTGCTATGGCGTCCTGAGAAGAATTATTTCTTCTATCATCGAAAGGAAAAAGTCAGACTCAAATCTGACGGTGTTGATTTAGTAACGTGTAGCTTCCAGCGGTGAATTTTATGCACCGTCGAACCTGTCGCTCGCTTCTAATACCATTGGTCGTGACGTCAGGGATAATAACCATAAGAAGGCTCCACCAAAACATATCGTCGCTAATACTGGCAGCGCTGAAGACATGACGTCAAACAAACGTTGCCTCAAACGCTGTAAGATGGGGGCACTACAGCTTTTTCTGCACGAGTTACATGAAGTTTGACGGTGGGAAATGAATGCTGGAAAAACTCACGTGAGAAAAAAGAAGTACAAAATACTGTGCTCTTTAAGTTGCCTGCTCGACTTGCAAGTTATGCAAGAAGTGACGTTACCCCCGCTGGAATGCGCGGGAGAATTAGGATGTTGGTCTTGGCATAACTTTTATTTGCCATTTTTAAATATCTGTCTTTAATTCAGAGATAAGAAATATAATGCCGGGAAGAGTAAAGCCTGAGTGTTCCAAAAGATTGTGTTTAATTTGAGCAGCTAAATAAATTAAACCGTAGTTTTTGTTTTCTTTTTTATAAAAGTGCGAAAAAATTTTTTTTTTCGTAAGGGTGTACGCAAAAAAATATCACAATCTTTCAGACGGAGTAAAGCCGGAGTCACACTAGCTTATACAGGGTGTCACAAAAGAAAATTTACACGGTCGTTTTTACCACAAAAATGAACTAGGCATCGCCGAACGCTCATTCTCCTCCCAAAGCTAGCGCTAGAGGTCACAATCAGATGCCAAAGTTTCAGCCCAATTCGATAACTTTATCAAAAGTTATAAGTGATTTTCTGAAAGTTTCGACGGAAAAATGGCGGCCGACGAAGTTTTCAAACACATGGGGATCTATGGCACCAGAAACTGAAAACGGGCACAAATGGGCTCCATTTCTCAATTAAAATTATCAGAAAATCAGTTATAACTTTTGATTAACTTATGGGATCGGGCTGAAACTTTGGCATCTGGTTGAGACATCTATTGCTACATTTGGGCTGAGAATGAGCGTTCGGTGATGCCTAGTTTATTTTTGCGGTAAAAAAGACCCTGTAAATTTTCTTTTGTGACACCCTGTACATTATATACAAAAGACAGACAGAAAACACGAGTCATCGCAATCTCCGTGGTTCCAATTTTGCGTGCCAATCTTTATCCCTGGCACGGCCACTCGATCTCCCCTGTTGTCCCTGGGCTCCTCATCATGCGGCATTCGAAGCACGCATCTCGCGGTTACTCGCACTGGAATCTGTATGCATACTGTCATTTGTAGGATGTATCAGCAGTGTGACCACGGCTTTACGGCAAACGGAACCGTACAGGGTCTCGGTAGAGCGGTGAATCACTCTTGAAACTCACGAGCTTCCAAACTTTCCTTTAAATATGAGAACTTATTGAGTTAAAGGGTAGTCACCATGCACGTTCACCTACTACGTAACGGCAGTAAAACGGCAATCTGTTGCCTTGTAGCGGACACCATTTATCGACAATACCACCTATTCTCCGTTCACCTTTAAGGTGCAACCCCACCCCTGGTTAGTGGGGTTAGTGTGATTCTGAACCAACAGATGGCGGTGGGATCGCCTTCCAGGCCTGTACATCAATGCGAGAAATCGTGTGTGGTGGCGCTTCGATGCAGTTGGATATTCTTCTATATCCAGAATTTGACATCCCTGGTCCCTTGCTTGGTTTCCTCCGCACGAGCTTTCTTTGGAACGCCCACGGCTGCGCCAGTTCTCGTGCAAGGGGGCCAGTTGCCACGCTCCGAGCTCATATCTCCAGCAAATGTAGGCAGAACAAAACGCGAAAATCGTCCTGAGCCCAATGGAGAGACACATGCACAACAAAACTACCGACGCGTTGAAAAATATAAAATTGCCTGTGCGCCGTTATCGGAGATTTCAGAGGCCAATGACACATATTACAATGTGATCAGATTTATACTGATACGAATGAAGGTGACGAGAGGACGAACAATGAACTGAAAAATAAAGGCTTAATCGGCGAACTTGTTCCAAACAAAAAAAAAAAGTAAACAAAGAGCGTCAAGGCAGCAGAAAAGCAGGCGGCGATTCGCCAGCGTAACAATGAGCGAGACCGAGGGCCCTAAGCTGGACGCTTGGCGAAAACGACGGCGAGAAATCTGGCGGCCGCGATTGGCCAATGCCACACTTGACCTTGGCGCCGGCCAATCATAACCGCCGAATTTCTCGCCGACGTTTCCGCCAAGTGTCCAGATTAGGGCCCTGAGACTGACTCAACAAGGTCGCTGGCAGCTGCTTATCTAGAGTGCGTCACGTCACCATCTAGGAAGTTCGGCAAAGAAGGTTCGAGCGTCGCGCGTTCGGGGCGAGGATGAACTGGTACTTTCGAGGACAAGAAAACAGGGCGAAAGTTCCGTCTGGTGTCAAGAATGAACACGAATCTTCCAGAAGTCCGTCACCGAGCGTTGCTTTCTCGGCTCTGCGGGCGGCAATATGACGGGCCGGCCCTTTTATCGTGCATGTGTTTGGATCTTTGTGGATTTCAAGCAAAACGAGATGACGTCATAGTCTGGTTTCCAAAATTCTAGCTTGAGGAATTAACTACCTAAAAGAAAAGACTATTTTTTGGGCGTTCAGGTGTCTCATCTAGGCAGCTGGGTGTTTATTTTGACCCAAACCACGAGACTGGAAAACACAAAAAATGTCACTCAGGTTTAGATGTTGAGTTTGGTAAACCCAAAGTAGGACTGGTGCGGGGGTCATAATAAAAAAATGCCGAAGTTAAAAATAAACTCACAGCAACAAAGAATAATGATTAATTTTAATACGAATTCGATGATAAATGCAATGACTGACCATGCAGGCAAAGATTCTGGGTCTGTTGATAGCTTTTGCACATAATTTAAGAAACTTTCAGGGTGCCACAAAAGAAAAAAATACGGGGGTTCTTTTTACCGCAAGAATACCGCACTTGATTTATCCTGTGAGCTAGACCAAATGAGCTACACTTAGAGTATCGGCAATTTTTCCCCCGATATTGCTTTGGGCGCCCCAATGTTGGTGGTTAGTAACAAATCAAATGCAACTGCCGGTCGTTATGATTCAAAAGTGCGACTTCCTCAGCAATAGTTTCGGTGTCAGGAAGCTCACGTAATATTGCTTTGCTTTGTCGCCAACTGTTTAAACATTTGTTGAGGACGGAAAAGCGTTTCCTGTGATTTCAGATAAAGCTTCAGATAAATGACAACCATCATTTTAAGCAACCAAGATGTGTATGAAGCGTAGCTTATTTAGTGGGTCTAGTTTAGCCCGACCGCATAGGCACAGAAAGAGAACGAACAGCTTAACTTCGCGCTCTTGGCGCTGCTTCAGTGGCTTCATCAGCCCGTAGCGTTGGTTGCGCTCCGAATTAAGGTAAAGCAAAGCAAATATTCAGATCTTAGGGTTTCACAAGCCAAACCAACAAAAAACACTTAACACGCCCAAGTAAAAAAAAAAATTATTGCGGGTTTATTTTGACTAACCGTAGATCCTTTGACGTGCATCCGAAATCTCAGTTTGGCCTCCGTCGGATTGCGGGCACCTCGGTCGATATTTAAACCCGACAAATATAGATTCATGGGCCAGCGCGTTGGCTGAGAGGAAGTGAGACGTTTTAATGTCATTGCCACTTAAGAGCCACCGAGGTGGTTTTTGAAACAAAATATAGTCGAACCATTCCGACAAGCATAGTTTGATATCGTGAATGATTTATGCAAGTGATAAAACATTAAAATGTTTTCGCATACGTGGTGGAATCTGAAATGGCAGAATGCATTTCATGGCGCCCATTTCATTTGGATTGCTTCGGGCATGTGTACCGACGCACAGTAGGACGCGCGCAAAAGTAGCTGTGGTGCACCCGCAGCCTCGCACTTGTTGTTCTCACATTTCTGGCTCGCTCACTGCGGGCATCCAGGCATCTGACACCCTGACATCTGGCGCTTTTTCTGTCTTTCACGTGGCGTTCCAAGCGGCACACGACGGAAAATGCATATCAAGCTGTTCTTGAACACGTGTCGCCATCTGTAGTTTATATTAAGAAACTATAAATCGCCGTAACTGAATGGGAAAAGTTTGAGGTCTTATAACATTCTTAACGTGTAATATATCGATATGGAAGTTCTGGAAAATGTAATATCGAAGGATGCTTCATAATTTAACGTCTCGTTATTTTGATTAGTTGACGTGATTCTGTTTTTATAACGTCATAAAATATTACAATTTTAAACTTTATTTTTTATTTTAAAATATACATTATCTGTACAGTTTTTTTGTTTACTTTTTTATTTTATAACATCTAACAGAACGCTCACGTAAAATATCGTGGATGATGGGACGTTCTAACCCGAGAAATAATTTTTTCAATATTAGAGACTGTGGTCTATTAAAAGCTAAATGATTAACTAACAACTAAAAATAATCGTGTTATCAAGACATTAAAGCATTGTTGAAAAACTGCTCTTCAATTTGACACTAACTTTAATATTGTGAGATACATAAAATGAAAGTTATAAACCGTCGGAAAAGCACCAAAACGTCATGCATGGTGGGGTTGCACCTTAAGCTGAGACTAGAAGCTCCGCCTTCAGCGCGAGCTTTCTGCTCTTGCTAACACAAGTGTAAACGCACAGGCACGCGCAACCAAAGCACTGCGGAAGCCAGCGTGCTCGCGTTGAAGGAGGAGCTTCTAGTTGAACGCATGGAGGCGTCATCGCTCGCAAGCGTTACACCCGTTGCGAGACGCTGCCAAAAGCACTGGCATAGACGTTGACGCGAGCTAGGTGCATCCCTGCCTGGATCCACTAATGCCAACGCTTGAAGAGGAACGGCGCATATATAGACCTACAACTATACCGAATTACTGACTGCATGAAAGAGGAGCACCTCCCCCATTCAACGAATGAATACCATTACATACCATCTTTTTAGAGTGAACAAGAGTCGAAAATTGAGGTGGTGAAGTCGATCGGAAAACTTGATGGGAAGAAAACCTTGGAAAATCTCGCCGCTTTCGTCGCGGGACAACCTCTGACCGTGGAAAAGAGTGACGTAGTCATTCTGCTAACAGGGTAGGAATGCCTGATTAAGTGTCGAAGACATTTTGTTTATAGAATGGCCCTTTGTATTTGTAATTATGTAACAATGTAAAATCACCCCTTGCTTCACCTTTACGACGTGGGCGCACTGAAGTACGCGGGATCACGTGTCGAGAAAAAAAGTGCTTCAATGGCGTTGAAATTTGTCGCATGAGAGGGCAAACCTCTGGGAGTAAAGAGTTTACAATGACTATGTGTTCAAAAATTTTCCTAGCATTAAATGAAACATCTTTGCATTATCTTGTAATATATCTATAATAATGAAGGAATAGCCTTAAGTGAAGGGTCTTGGTGTTAAACATATATTTAGCGCTGTCGGTAGCAGTGAGAAACGAATATCGCCAGAAGAAAGAATGTGACTCAACAGTAGCCTTTCGTGGAAAAAGAAAAAAAAATGGGGAGAAGGGGGTTTTCGATTACGTTTTCTTTCAATATTTCCTTTCTTCGTATTAATTAACAGATCATTTTACGAAATAAATAACGCATTTTTATACAGATGTAGGTTTATAGCATTTGCAAGGGAAAAAGCTATTGTAATTTTCTTATCTAAATCATAGCCACCTCGGTAGCTGCGAGACAGAGTGCAGGTATGCGGATCCCCAGCTGGTGGGCTAGAATCCCAGCTTAAGGTATTCGCAATTTGAAGTAGGCTTGCGATGGATAAGGTACCGTGATTTCGATTGCACGTCGAAGAATCCTTTTTAGGTTCAAAGTCTGGTTATCAGATTCCCACTTGACTGCGCATTGATTGCGCTAGGACCACTTGTAATTGGTTAAAGACAAGATAACGCAAAAAAAAAACACACACAAAAAAAAACACTCTGACTTACTGATACCATATATCGGGTAGCCCTGGAACCCTTCCGATCTGCGGTTGACAAATCAAAAAGTTTTTTTCATTATCTGTGTGGTCAAATCTTTGAGAAATGGTCGCTCGTAATATTGTCAAAATTATTTCAAGGCCATGGTGAAAAAACGGTGCGTAAAGGTCGGTTCTCACATGCAGCGAAGCGCTGATGTAGCGCTGCTCACGTGTCGTTAGCTACGTATCGTCTGCCATGAGCAACAGTTCTGACGGTGCGATACAATGCTGGTGAAGGCTCCCGTCAGCACGCGCATAGCGCGAGGCCTGCGCTAGGCTTGTAACGCTCCGCTGCATGTGGGAACAGGCCTTAATATATACGCAGGTCATAAGTGCTTCAGCACTACTCGACAGAGGGCGCCGCTACGTTCTTTCGTTTAAAGCAGGCGGAAGCTGTTGAAACACACTTGATCACTATCAAAGGCAAACCAGCCTTTATTGTCAGTTTTACGTCACAAACTTTAGTTTTTGGTGAAAACGCATTTTCAGAACCGCCATTCGCCGATATTTTTTAAAATAATAGAAATGGTTGGCTCTCCAACCACTCCGATAGACAGTTGACGCGGGTGAACGTTTTTGAGTGAACGCATATTACACTTCACACACGTATGCGTGTCTGTGCAATACGTGGTAAAATGCCCGCGGTACTTTTGGAAAAAAAAAATTCCCATACTCCATGAAAAGCGATTTGGTACTTAAATATTCCCCCCCCCCCCCCCCCCCCCCCCACAACACTTTATGTGCATGCACTAACAGTACATTGGACATAAATAAGTGACGGGCGAGTTTTCTGAAACGTAATTCGCTTGCCGACAACAGTAACATTTACATCCGTAGCCTGAGCTTCATTTACTAGAGTTATTTAAAACCAAATAAAGTTGATGAATACAAAGTTCAGTTATGTGGTCTGGTATCTTTTTGCAGATTAAATGTGACTGATGGGGAGGACAGCACTGTTCAAGGTTGGAACATTGTTTTAAATAATTTTTGTACAGTTTAACTATTTCTACATTTAATGGTTTCATACAAAACTCTTTTCGAGGCGAACGATTTGGTACAATGTAAAATGTGCTGCCTCTGTTTTGTAAGTTTGTTTAATTTTGTCTTCAGTTTTTATATCCTACTGTATTAGTCAGTTCCGTTGATATTTCGAAATAATTCCAGTTTAAGTTACCCCAAGACAATAGCTTTTGATAGTTCCGAAGACAATATTTCTATTTGGATAGAACAGAGCGGTACAGTTTGATCAATGTATTAATAAAATTACTTCAGATAACATAGATGTCAAGGCCGTGTAATCCTTTTAGAGTGAATAAAGGTTGTATATCTATCGCTCTGCCTCTATCAGTGGTGCCAACTGGAATATTACAGGATATTTGAAAATCTACATCTTGGGAAGCTGCCATAAAGAGTATAGTTAACAGACATCTTTCTCCAAAAGTGGCCGCTTGGCCTCCTAGTACAAAGTCACAATTGAATATAAACATAAATAAGGATTTTAATCACGTAACTTGGGACTTAGACATTGGATTGGATCAGATCTCGTAGCCTCTGGATTAAAATGGAGAAAAACCTTTTCAATCGATTTAAGTGTTCTAAATAAAATTAAAGGTGAGAATTTTATTGATAGAACGAAATGATCACTTGAAGCGTTTTCTTTCAAAATATCGGCTAATGATGTTATCTATCGTAGAATTAATAAACAATCTGCGTATTTATTTTGAAGTTTCGCAATTTGAAAAATGACTGAAGCGATTGCACTCGTTTCGGGTTCCAATGTTTTTGTGCTACATTTATTATGACATCATTGTGTCTGCAGATGAAACCTGGTTAATACAATTCAGTTCAAAAGTTACTTTACAGAAACACCGGAGGGAATTACAACGTCCGTTTCGATGTGTATATGATCCCTTTATACAGGTAGCAGTGTTACTAGCGAGTTTTCGAATAGCGTACCCAAAAGCTTTGCGTACGCAAAGATATAGCGTCGTCGCCATGAGTCAATGCAAACCGCGGTTTGGGCTCGCCGCATACATGCGTAGTGGTGACGACGCTATACTCTTTGCGTAGGCAAAGTTTTGGCTACGCACTTCTAAAACTCACTAGTGGCACAATACTGAACAAAGTACGTTGCTTAGACGAACGCATGAGACACTGACAACCCCAACATAAATATTCTTTCAATGTTGCAAACAACTAGAAATGTTCTATATGGCATTATCTTAAGAAGATTAAGCTTGGGAACGGCGCATTTGCAGAGAAAAATATAACTGAAAAAATTCCTTCAGTTGGAGCTGATAATCCTAGATTTCTTGCATTCCACGCGGAACGGTTAAACTTTAAGAAAACTTTGTCTTTTCACTGTGTAGTAAGCCAGAGGTTTACTAGCTTGGCTCACTGTTTCTTATAAACCACGGTGACTGCTGCCCAGACTGTTAGAGGGTCATTTAACAATATTTGGTGCAACCAGCAAGCGTGAGGCGTTAGCATAGAATTTGTCAATGGCACGATTTGAATTGAAGAGAGAAATATCTCGATACCGATTATGCTGGCTCTCTGTTGCACACCTCCATACGAATTGTTTCCAATACGGTAGACTGTTGGTGTGGTCTTACGTTCGGTAATGCAGGGGTATCTTATTATGCCGGAGCCTGCAGCCCCAAGAGGGTTGCTGTTGTAGAGGACGACGGACGGACATTCAAGGGTGCCAACGCAGCAGCCCAGCAAGTTGCCCATCTGTAAGATAACGACATGCTCTCACTGGCAAAACTGAACAAGCGGAGGTATGCAGCGCGACACTGCTACTGAAAACAAGCGATGAACATTTTTTTTACTGCTTTTACCTTAACATACAAGCTCTATTAAAAGTTACTTGCGTGGCAGGAAGTCCTCATGGTTCAGGGCAGTAACCTAAGAAGTACAATTTGGTGCCCCTCGCCAAGCTTCAGAATTAATATGCGAAAAAGCATCGATGGCGTGTTTGCGCTAACAGTGTCGCGCAGTGCACGGTGTTCATAAACAAATTGAACCTCAAATAAGAGCGAATTTATTTATGAATTTCTCTAAAATGCAAAGAGACGTTTTTGTTTGGGAATTTGAGGCCTCAACAAGCCTGAAAAAGCAAAGATAGAGCCGAACTTGACGTTCTTTGGACCGAGTCTGCTTAAATTGGCTCTTATTCGCCAAAGAAGTGCCGAAGTTAGGCTTCGCTGCTGGTAGTTTTGTCGTCATCTGTAATCTTTGGGCCTAAATCGCCGAGCAGGTGCCAGAGTTAAGCTTTACTTCTGGTTCGGCTTCCATGGGGCACCTTTGAATCTAAATTGCCAAACAAGTGCCAAATTTAGGCTTCACTGCTGGTTCTTCGGTTCTTTTGTGAGTGCGTCAATTTGGCAATTATGTGTCGAGCCAGGAAAAAGCCACAAAAACGACCAAGAAAAGTACTTTGGCGCTAACTAACGCATCGGAGCAAAACAGTACCATAGCCTGTTAGGCGTTTATCTGGCGTGCCTGAGTATCAATATGGTTTAAAAAAGAAATTACAATGTACTCAGAAGTTCACACATCGAATGTGCACTATAGTGTTTCCCTGAATAAACGTTTAAGTGCAGCCAGAAGAAAAGGTGCCTAAAAAGCACTAGTGTTGAGATTGCTTCCCGTATTTGTTTACTAATCTTGACTAGAACATATTTTCATGCGTGCACCAATATGGTTGGAGTGTTTAGGAAAGCGCTTGTCTAGCCATGTTATCTTACCGGTACCGGATAATCTTAAAGGGGCCCTGCAAGGTCTTTATTACTGGCTTTTAATTTACACCGAACATGAGCGCACTGAACGTAGTAACTTAATGAAACGTTTCTTTCCTCGAATTTCGCGTTATTTTAAAAGTTATAGACAAATTAAAATTACAAAAACAAGCAAAAAATAACCTCTTTCATGACGCCCTTGGTCGCTTGAGTAACCGTGAGCCAGAGGAGGGGTACTGAGCTAAGCGAGCGCTCACGGCTGCCGCACTCCGTGTCGACGGCTCGAGAGGGCGCCACTAAAGCATGTTCTGCATAGGCTGTATGAAGCGGGCAGCCAGGGCGGCTCGTATTCCATTTGCTGCGTGATTAAACACTAATTCGGCATGACACTTCATAGGCCACGAACGACACCAAACGCGGGGTGAAGTTTAGTTCAGAACAGGAGCCACTTCGCGCTGCCATATCGCCAAACGGTGAAACCGCAAGCCAAACCTGTCGCCGAAGGCCTTCGGGACGCTCGAAACCGGTTGGATCCTCGAGACCGTGTACGACCGCAGCGCCGCCGCGTACATTCGGGACCTTTCAACGCTCGCCGCTCGTCGGTGCCTGATCCCACTACACCTTTCTAGTAAGCGCCACCTTTTCCACCGCTTGGTGGCGCGTTTGTCGACGGGTCATTTCTTGTTTCCGTACTTTCTAAACTGCATTTCTTTCTTTTCTCGTTTTAAACAATGAACAAAAACTACTTTCATATATAATTGAAACGAGTCGCGCCACTTATATATTGTATATCGACTAAAAAGAAGCTTCTAGCGGCTTTGACCAGTAGTGAGGCAAGGACCAAAGACGTCACATATCGCGCGTTTTCGGCACCGCGGGTCGCTCCCATAGGTGGAGGAGGTTTCCGCGTCATCTTGTTAAAATATGACGTACTGATATTTAGTTACTCTCTCGTGCCCGCTGGTTTGCCCGAACCCCAAGAGACGTGGAAACAGCGAAAAAGGTAGAAGCTTAAATATGATTGCAGGGCCCCTTTCAGCAGAATATTCTGCTGCTACAGAATTAACTGATAATAAAAAGAAAATAAAAACATTTGCTGGGCACTCCAACGCATGGCAGGAAAGTGTAACCTAAGTTGTGTTTCTCTCAATCATGTGGAATGAGTTGAAGAGAAGCCGACTGGCTTTAATTGCTCATTTACCGTTTAACTAATATTTGAATGGTGCCATCAAAAATATCTAACGCTCAATGAAATCCTTTACTGCTCAATATCAGCTACAAAGATTTTCAACCTTGTCTGAAACTTCTAGATAATTCAATCTAATGTTGTACAGCTTTATGGACGTACATTATAATTATTATTTCAGACTGGGCGCAACTTACGACGGAACATCACCTCTTGCAAACCTATGTCCAGCATCATTGGGCTACATTATGAGCAAGAATTCCAACACGTGGAAACACCACCGATTTTCTTTATGCAGCGAGATCATGATGCGATTTTCTTATGGTTTTGAGATGTACGTTTTGCAATCCTTACATTTTAAAGAGCGAGGCATAACATCTTAAACAACGTTTTTTTTTTTTTTTTTTTTTTTTCTGTAGCAAAGTAATATCCAGAGCGTGTCATTAAACACCGGTCGAATTGCTCCTGCAAACAGTGCGCCTCGTACAGAAAAAGGGTTGATGTGCTATTGGTCTCCGCCAAATGACCTATTTATATTAATAACATTTGGTATAATTAATCTCTTACTTCTGAGTGGTTAACGTTTTAAGTAGTAACTCTTGATGTATGTTATCAAATAGATGCTTTCTGGGCATCATCAAACTCCACTAAATCGGCGCACTTTTAAAAACCATGTGGCATACGCAGCCTTTAACGACGTTCTGCGGAAAGAGCATTAAAACGGATCTCAAAGCCAACGGTTCTGTACCCCGTGGCCTGAGCGCGCAACTACTGTACGCTTCTGGAACATCCTGTATAAGGGTTCCAGTAGGAAAGTAATGTTTGATAAAAATGGCGCTGTCTTCTGGTGTCATCTTTCAAGATATGACCTCCTCTATAAAGTCTATGCCTGTCATATGCGCCGCTCCTCCCCACCCACCGGCCATCATAATCCTGCGTGAGTGGCGCCAACAGCAAGGTGAGTGGCGGCACAGCGCAACTTCACTGATGGCGCCGTGAGGGAGTTGCGCGACACCACTGCTCAACGGCGCCACTAACGCAGGGTATTGACTAGAGAGCCTAGATTTAAGATGAAGCAACTCGAACCACAGAGAGCGTTTGAATTTAATGGCGGACGCCCCCGGCACATAGATTATTCGTAAGCGCATATGCGTTTAGTTAATGAGTTTTAGTAGTGAGTTTTAGTATTGCGTATATGAGCAAACGCAAGCGCTCTGCGTTTACGTTAGCGTTACGTTCTCCACGCTGCGCATGCGTGAAGTCGCATGCGCCAATCCAAGGCCGCAGTTTTGACTCCGCGCACGCGCAGTGTGAAACCCGCAACGCTAACGCAAACACGCATGGCTTGCCTTCGCTCGTATACGCAATACTAAAAGTTACTAATATTGCGTATACGAGCAAACGCGAGCGCTGTGCGTTTGCGTTAGCATTGCGTTCTCCACGTTGCGCACGTGCGAAGTCGCCATGTGCAAATCTAAAGCAGCAGTTTGGGCTCCGCGCACGCGCAGTGTAGAACACGTAACGCTAACGCAAACGCACACGGCTTGCGTTCGCTCGTGTACGCAGTACTAAAACTCACTGTTGTCTCTCGGAAAAGACGAAGGCGGGCGGAGAGGTAAAGCCTATATGGAGACGCTTGAGATGAACGACGCTTTCGGCTCCTTCTCATAGCTTGTATTACAAACCTGTCCCATGAACCACGTGACCCCAATCGAACATTTTGAAACACTCTGTAATCTAGGCACACTAAAATTGAAGGCCGGTGAGTGGGAAGGAGCAGAATGAGACTGCAGAAAGGTCTGGTATTTTGCGGTTTTCAGTTATTTTTTTCTTTGGTTAAGATTTTCAAAATTCAGTAAGTTTAGATTATATGGGTAATTTCGGCCTCAGGAGACGTACACATTTAAGCTATAAAGGGGTTCTTACATTTCGCAATGGCAGGGAAAGCTGAAAAGTATTCATAAATGGATCGCATATATCAGCTGCATTCCGATGTGTGTTGTACTTTATATAGGGTGACCATATTCCTCAAGATAGAAAATGGGACATCCCAGTCCGGAGGGGAGGGAGAGAAAGAAAGAGAGAGAGAGAGAGAGAGAGAGGGAGGGGGAGTCTTGACAAAAAAAACGTGTTTGTGGGCAAGAACAGTTCTCTCAATTTTGCTGGGTAAATATTTTAAAGTATCTACTTTTTTTTTTGTAGAATACATTTGTAACAAGTTGGCATAGTTTCCGCTTGCTTCAACTCGCGTTGTGCTAGTTTCGAAATTATGCACTCCTGCGAAAACGGGACATGATTCCTTATTGGGACAAAAAGACGGGACGGCCGAAACGGACCTCAAAAACGGGACTGTCCCGGCCAAAACGGGACGTCTGGTCACCCTAATTTTATATATATAATACAAGTAAATTACCAGTTATGTCAACCTCGTCAGCCACGGAAACGTTCCGCAAAACAGGACTTGATATTTCCTGTGGGCTCATTTCGCACGTGAGAAATCTCAATTTTTATTAATCGACAGCTGTACTGCAAAATATAGGAAACAAAATCCTACATGTTTAGTAAAAAATATAGTCTCATTCAAAACATAAAAGCACGAAAATAAGAAAATAGAGCAACCCAAGTGCTTGCTGACATGTGTCATAATATTTCATGACCTTTTGTAAACACAAAATAAGTATCTGAAATTACTACTTTCTAGGCTGCGTGAGTTAATGACATGACAAGTGTTACGTTGAAACTACCTGTTTCATCTTTGACAAATATTATCTCGGGGCTTTCATTAAGAGCCCCATAAGCCGAGTGAATTTTGCAGCAATGCGACGAGTTTGCAATCATGCGCCGTGTCTTGTGGTGGTGTCGATTCTTGACGCAGGGACTGAATGACTGACTCATGCTTCTGAGTAATTCAATTTTAACAGAAACATATTCTCAAACTTTATTTAGGTTAGACAGGTGGACATGTCTTGGAACAAAACCTGGCGAGGTTCATAACCATCCTCTAAAACTGCCCAGCGACTTTTTTACCTCGCTCATGAAGCATTCCTATTGCAGTGCATGGAACAATTCTGAATCTGCGACAAATTGTAAAGTAAGGGTTTTAGATGACTTCTATGGCAAATGCGGAAATTCCGCACAAGGCAGATATTATTTAGATTAAGAATATATTCTCAACATATTGTTCAGTTTGTTAGCGGAAGAGAACTTTAAGCTTTACAAGATGCGTCGTACAGTAAGGTTTTACATTATAAATGTACTTTATATTCTGCTTTATTTGCACCGCAAAATACAACTTTGATTACCTTGCCAGTTGAAGAAAAAAACTGCCGCCACGATGATTCACGAATGATTGCGTTAGCATTTCGCGCAGCGGTTATATAGGTATAACAAAGCACAGCGAATGAAGCCTCGCAGCACTTTTCCGCAGGGTGAACATTCCCGAAACCCTTCTTCTCCTTGGTGCAAGCAGATCAGAGGCCAGATTCACTCAGAGCTTTTTAGGTTCCGAAAACTTAGCTAGGACGTTCGTAAGGTAAGAACATCGTAAGAAGAGGAGCAATCGGTTATCACGAACGCGTTCTAACGTGAGAAGGGAAAAGCGACGTGTGCTCAAAAGCATTTGAAGGTCAGCGCAGTACTAGGGCACTAATGCTAACGCATTAATAACGATTGCACAACGCTCTAAAGAAATACTTTCTCAAAAACTTCGCATCAACATATAAAACAACAACAACAACAACAACAACAACGAGGATTCATGTACTGTTTACCTCTTTTGCGTCACCTTACAGTGGTTTTGGAGTTACAGGTGACGTTTTACTGAAGGGCGCAGTCGAAAAGGTTATGACTTTTAGTGACATGACATTTAACCACACTAAGGCTGGAATATTTTCTAACCATAGCAAATACGTGTTTATTTACTGAGTAATGAATTTGCAGCTGTCAAGTACTGAGTACCCCTGCAAATTTCTGTGTTGCTCAGGGAACACTAATGCACACAACTTAGTTCCTGCTCCAGATGGCTTCATCTGCAACAAAACTATGGTAAACATATTTTTTATACTTAAATTATTAATTTATGCACCCTATCGCATTTGTTGTAGTATTGAAATATATAAAAGGAGTGACTGAAACATTAAAGTTTGGTTTGAGCTAGAGAAAATGAAGAAAGGAAAAGAAACACGAACTGACAAAAATATGCTGCATTAAAACTTTGCTACCAACCAAGATCGTTCAATCATAATTATGTAATAAAATTAATAAATAATTACATCGTAGTTTAGACCACCATGAACCGGAACGGTATAGTCACACCTACACATGAAAGATTACAAGGTCCCATTTGTCAGGCCGAGGTGCCTGCATTGTGTTGAAGGCTCATGGCCGTACCTGTGGCTTTGAATTTAGTACTTAGTTGCATGACCAAAGCTGTAGATACAAACAGCTAAAAATGAAAGCCGCTTACAACTCCCTGTAACGCCGAATTAGAGCGCAGCTCTTGAGGAGGAGGAGGGAAGGGCACGGGGGGGTAAACTAACCAGGGGGGGGTCAAGTGACCTTGGGGGTCACGTGACCCCCAATGCCGATGATGTCATCACTGACGTCACTGATGACGTCATCCGTGACGATGACGATGCGGGTACCGATGACGTCATTAGTGACGTCACTGATGGCTTTACCAGTGATGATGACGATGACGATGCCAATGTCGGTGACGTCATCAGTGACGTCGCTGATGACGTCATCAGTGATGATGACGATGACGATGCGGATGCCGGTGACGACATCAGTGACGTCACTGATGACGTCATCAGTGATGATGACGATGACGATGCGGATGCCGGTGACGTCGTCAGTGATGATGACGATGGCGATGTGGATGCCGGTGACGTCATCAGTGATGATGACGATGACAATGTGGATGCCGGTGACGTCATCAGTGATGATGACAATGACGATGTGGATGCCGGTGACATCAGTGATGATGACGATGACGATGGGGATGCCGGTGACGTCATCAGTGATGATGACGATGACGATGGGGATGCCGGTGACGTCATCAGTGATGATGACGATGACGATGTGGATGCCGGTGACGTCATCAGTGATGATGACGATGACAATGTGGATGCCGGTGACGTCATCAGTGATGATGACGATGACGATGGGGATGCCGGTGACGTCATCAGTGATGATGACGATGACGATGTGGATGCCGGTGACGTCATCAGTAATGATGACGATGACGATGCGGATGCCGGTGACGTCATCAGTGATGATGACGATGACGATGTGGATGCCGGTGACGTCATCAGTGATGATGACGATGACGATGTGGATGCTGGTGACGTCATCAGTGATGATGACGATGACGATGTGGATGCCGGTGACGTCATCAGTGACGATGACGTCATCGGGGGGTCACGCGACATCGGCGGGGGTCACGTGACCTCGGGGGGGTCACGTGACCTCGGGGGGTCACGACCTCGAGGAGGGGGTCACGTGACCTTGAGGAGGGGGTCACGTGACCTCAGGGGAGTCACGTGACCTCGGGGGGTCACGTGACCCCCCACGAGGTCACGTGACCCCGGTGGGGGGGCTCGCGCGGTGCATTATGGGACATTTCCCATGATGCATTGCGCGGTTACGCCGACGGCGACGGCGACGGCGACGGCGACGGCGACGCCGCTCAAGCTGGAAACGGGCCCCTAAGAGCTGCGCTCTAAAAACTGAACGCCGTTTACAACTCCCCGTAACACCGAATTAGAGCGCAGCTCTTGAGGAGGAGGAGGGAAGGGTTAGGGGGGGGGTGAAGTGACCTGGGGGGTCACGTGACCTTGGGGGGTCACGTGACGATGCCGAGGATGTCATCAGTGACGTCACTGATGACGTCATCAGTGACGATGACGATGCGGAGTCCGATGACGTCATGAGCGATGATGACGATGACGATGCGGATGTCGGTGACGTCATGAGTGACGTCACTGATGACGTCATCCATGACGATGGCGATGCAGATGCCGGTGACGTCATCAGTGACGTCACTGATGACGTCATCAGTGATGATGACGATGCGGATGCCGGTGAGGTCATCAATGACGTCACTGATGACGTCATCAGTGATGATGACGATGACGATGCGGATGCCGGTGACGTCATCAGTGACGATGACGTCATCGGGGAGTCACGTGACCTCGGGGGGTCACGTGACATTGGGAGTCACGTGACCCTGGGGAGGGGTCACGTGACCTTGGGGTGACCTGGGGGAGTCACGTGACCTTGGGATGACCTTCGAGGGTCGCGTGATCTTGGGGTGACCTTGGTTATGCCGACGCCGACGGCGACGCCGACGCCGCTCAAGCCGGGAACGGGCCCCTAAGAGCTGCGCTCTAAAAAACAAAACAACAACAACAGCTGGTTGTGGTTTTCTTATATTACCGCTTCTTGCTTCGGGATTTGTCGTTCGGCAATCTTATGGCGAATTCGCGTGGTCATTTCGCGGCAAAATATTTTGCCATATCTCCGCCAAGGGCGTTCGCGTGGTCAAAGGCTGGCTAGTGCGCGCCGTTCGGGTGGCACTTCTCAGGCGTGTGCTGGCAATTTCCCGGCACAATTTTTGCCCGAGCTCCAAGAGGTCAGGCAGCTTGTCTGCCAGACTGTATCCGGTATCGTCATATCCGAATCGGGAAAGGGAACCAAACGAAACAATGGTCGCCGAGACCGTGTTCTAGTAGAAAACGAAGCCACTGAGACAGACACCCCTCCGTGGTCCGAGAAAAGACAGCAAAAACAACGGAGATAAAGATAAAATATTTTAAAGGAAGCTTCCGCAAGATCAGTTTCCTATGGGACACAGCCTGTTATTACACCGCTGTGAAAAAAATGTATTGATAGTGCTGCAGCTCGACACTTGAACGCGCATTACTATTTTAAAAGGCTGGGTCAAATCAAAATGCTGAGGATTCCAGCAAAAATGTAATAACAAGAAACTGGAATATAAAATGGCGACGCTGGTGAGCCTTCTGGGATCCTTGTAAGATGGCAACAGTTCTTCGAGAATCTAAACAAGATATATTATAATTTGTTTACCCACATCTCAGAGTCCGAATATATGTTGCTGATGCCTACAGCGTGCCTATTATATCATACAATAATCGAGGAAGAAGTTAACGAAGTTCACGCGCGACCCAGGCAGACGAAAACGCCAGTTGCAGGCGCTTTGTGTTCGGGTGGAGAGGGTCACGTGGTGCGCCGCTGGCGCGGTTTTCGTTGCCTGTGCCGCCGGCGTGAGCTCGCCGGCGATTGACCACCCGAATTCGCCATTATAGGACAACGTGCCGGAGCGTCATTAAGCGCAGAGTGATAGTAAGGCGGCTCGGTGCTAGCCACGACCAGCCATTCAGTAGCTGTACAAGGCAGTCTAAACCATATTTTCATAATTCGTTAGCTGTACAAGGCAGTCTAAACCATATTTTCATAATTCGTTAGGAAGTACCAAGGGCCTCTGTCGAGATAAAATATCATGGCCCGGCCCTCTAATCTGGCTTAACCAGAGACGGACACCGGCCGCGATGACACTGTATAGTTTAATTGAAGATACCACCTTAGCGGTACTAAAACTTGCAGTCAAGCTATAGTGATCAGGAGGTCGCGCAAATCAGTGGGATGATATCAGCTTGGTGGGTGTATCTTCAGTCTTATACTTGACATATTTCTCCCTTCAAGTGATTCCTGAGGGCGCGTTCGGATTTGCCGTAAATCACGCATTCTAAAATAGCGCGAATAGTGAACCGCTCACTACAATCTACGGAGCGCGCTTAATAAACGAAGAGGCACAAAAAAAAAATTGGTGTGACCACGCGATTTTCACACCTGCAATGGGCACGACAAATGTCACGCTTCTTGTTCCTGTGCATACTGCGGCTTTGAACTCTATCGATTTTTGTGCATCGTCATTCGCTGGACGCGCCATTTGAATAGCAGGGATGAGAATTTCGCGTTGTATGTGAACATATGGAAGGATGTATTAATTTTGCGTCAAAAAATATCGACGGAAGAAGTAGACTTAAAGCGCCATGTTTAAAAGCCCATTCACACTTTAATTTTTGACTGAAGTCACTGACTGCTGGAGTAACGCCGGGTGGGGCTTATTATGTTAACGCTTCTTACTTAGGCGTGATTTGTTCACGGGTGTTCTTATTGGTTAATGCCGCAATCTGATTGGCTGTGGAGTGATAATGAGATGCACGGGACTCGCCAGGCTCTACGTTTCTCAAGCTGTCAGTATCTCCATACCTTTCCAAAAATCGCCTTCAGCGTGCTGCCGACTTTGTCTGCTGGGCTGTGAAACGCCTACTGAGCGTGCGCTGTATCTTTGTTGTGCGGTGTATGAGGCGCTACGCATGCGTCCACGGCTCAGTGAATCAGCATTTTTCGCCCGGATGATAAGCGCTGGGAAGGGCTAGGCGGAGAGCAAGTCGTACGTCTGCTTCCTTTGCAGGAGTTGCAGTGATGTCAGAAAAATACCGAGCTCTGATTGGCTGTGATTGAGGTATAGTGGGTAGACCTGAAAGCAAGGTGCCTTGAGGTTAACCCACTGGTCTTCATTCAGAACCAATCATAGCTTGGCGTTCGGACGTCACCACAACCCCTGCAAAGTAAGCAGACAAACTTTCCCTCTGAATAGGTTCTACTGCGTACAGGGGTCTGTTTACCTTGAGACACGGCTCTGCGTTAGGGCTGGTGCACACATTTGCGTCGGGCGCGTTTCTCTGCGTTCTGTTGTGTAGCACAGTGGCTCCCCATTGGCTCGTAATAAGTGTCGTCATAGCAACGGCTGGACGCAAGCAGTCTTAAAGGGGCGCAAGTGGTTGCAGTCGCACTCGAACGCAACTGTGTGCACGAGCCTTTAACCACGTTTTAAACAAGCGACGAAACAATTACCATGGTAACTCGAAGTTGTGTTTCGAGGTCAGCCCTCGCAACGTAGTAACATAATCAAGCGCA